ATCCCAGGGTGGCTTCCAGCCCCTATATCAGAGCCATCCTGAGTGGTACACGGTCACAGCTGGCCTTGTTTAGGGTCTTCTCTTGCCTCGGGTGCCCCTCCCCTTAGATCTCACTCACCCCACCTCTCACAGGCTCCCAAGCCCTCTCAAAGGGGAGTGTGTCCATCCTTTCTTGTGGCCATTCCTGGGGGTCCTCCAGAGCTGTATCCTGGCTGGCTCTGGCCAGGAGGCCTCTTGACGGTGTCCTGCCTAGCGGCAGCAGCCAAAAACCCAGTCAGGGGACATGTCCTCCTTCTGAATTTCAAAGTGCTTGTTTGTCTACATTCATGATGAAGAGATCCGCCGGCTATTTACGCTCCTTCTCCTTCTGCTCCCTGCGGATGGGGCGCGTGTCACCCTGCCTGCCATGATGTTTGAGGCCGCAGTAACCAATTGCAATGATCATCTATGGAATCTTGATCGATATTGCCCCATGCCTGGCAAGCAGTGTGTCCTTTTCTCTATGCCTTATCTAATTCGTTCTCACAGCAATCCTAAGAGGTAGCGTTGTTCATGGCTCCATTTTACAGGTGAAGAAATTGAGGTCAAAAAGGTTGAACAGCCAGGTGCAGTGGCACACACCGGTAGTCCCAGCAGCTCAGGAGGCTGAGGCAGGAGGATCACAAGTTCAAAGCCAGCCTCGGGAACTTAGCAAGGCCCTAAGCAGCTCAGGGAGACCCTGTCGCTAAATAAAACATAAAAAGGGCTGGGTTTCTATTGTCATGTATAACTGATCAGAAGTAATAAATAAATAGGACTGGGGATGTGCCTCAGGGGTTAAGTGCCCCCTGGGTTCAACCCCCAGTACGGAAAAAAAAAAGTGTTTAACAGTTTAACAGCATCTGTGTGAGATCTCCCCGTAGAAAGGTCTGGATTCAGAGTCGGGGCGCTGAGCCACCTGGTTGTGCTGTCTGTAGGTCACCTGGAAACCCAGGTGCACCTGGTCCATGGAAGTTCTGCTTGTGTGGGGAGCAGGCCTGTGTGCGGCGAGCAGCAGCTGGGTGTGAGAGAACGCGTGTGTGCTGCGAGCTGTCCCCCTCCCCATTCCCCTGAAAAAGCAGGGTGCCCCGGACCCGCAGTGCAGGAAGCCAGCGCTTTTCTCTCTCGGATAGTTGCCCCTTCTAACTGTCTGAGTGGCTCTCTGCCAGGCCCATTTAAAACCTCTCCTAAGTTATGCAGGAATTAAATGGGTTTCACTGCAGGGCATGAAACATAATCCAAGAAGGTCAGGCACCAGCCCGTCCCCCTCCCCACTGTGCGCCGGGACCCACTCTTAAATTCTCTGATCCGGTGCTCAGGGAGGCCCTCGGCCAGGACCACAGGGTGTGCGCGGTGAAATGTCCTCGTCTCCCTGAGGCAGGGCTGAGAGCTGGTGTCCTGTGGGAACCCCCCTCTGCGCACCAGCTCCTCAGGGGGCGAATGGCCAGCGCGCTGAAGTGTGGTCCAGCTGTCACGTGCGGCTGGCTGCTCTCAAAGGGGAAGGTGTCCATCCTTTCTATGGCCAACCCCGGGGCTCCTCCAGAGCTGTGTCCTGGCTGGCTGTGGCGCTCCTGTGCTCAGGGGGCAGGGGGACGGGAGCCACCGGGAATGCCCAGCATGGTGCCCTCGATCTTCACCAGCTTCTTGACACCTCTCTGCCCACCCTGGAAGGTGCCTTGTCTATACCCCTCTAAAAGGTGATCGAGTATTGAAATATTGAAATCCCAGCTGCCATCTTCTCAGCACCTTTAGCCTGGGAAATTCACACTCATGAGCTTATGGACCCTTCACATCAACCTGGTATTATGCTTCAGTGTACAGAGAGTGGATTAAGGATCAGAGAGATTAAGTAGTTAACCCAAAGACACACAGCAAGGCCGGGATTCCCACAGAGGGTCTGCCCAGGCCTGAAACTCTAGCACTTGCTCACTCCGAGACTTGCAGGCTTGATTCTCTTTGGAGGGAAAGAGCATCTGTTTTACAGGCAGCAGGCGGGGAGGGAAGCCCAGAGGTGTGAGGGGCCTGCTGAGCCTGTGAAGTGTAAAGAGCTGCACTTCTCCGGGAGGTAGTCCACACAGCATGCAGGCCTGCGTTCTGTGACGGGGCACTGGGGAGTCATGGCTGGCCAGAGGAGAGGGCCTTCCTGCCGTCTGCCTCTTGTCCGCCTCCCCTGACCCCAGGGGGACAGAGTGGTGAGAGATGGACAGGCCGTGGGTCTGTCCATTCAGCCTGAACTTGCCCGCTGACTGGGAGCAGCCGGCAGCTCCGCGGCTTTGCTCTCAGACGCCCTCCCAGCCTGACGAGGGGCCTCATGAAGAGCTCAGCAAGGGCTGCCAGGGTGCCAGGGTCCCCAAAAAAGGAGCCCCTTGAACAGGGAGCCGCAGGATCAGGGGACCCAGTCTTTGTGCCAATGTGAAAAGAACACAGAGCTCAGGGAATGCCGCCTCTGTCCCCAGGGAACATACCGGCCAGCCCACACTCTGGTGTCATCAGCGCCACCAGCTTCCCCAGCATCGCACGGAGGAGGTGGGGGACACCAGGTTTCCAGGATCCTTTGGTACAGGACTCAGGAGCAGGCACTTACTAGGCCTGGATTCAGGCCTTGGTCTACCACTGCCCAACTGTGCAACTTTGGGCAAGTTATTAACCTCTCTGTGCCTCAGCTGCCTTTTATAAGGCAGATAGATAGCTGCCACCGGGAAAGACGCTTGTCACAGAGCTGGCCGACCTGGCCCGTAGCACAGGGCCTGGCACAGTTTTTATTGTTGTTGGTTCTTTGTTTCCGTGAAGAGGCTCAATTAGATGGTCTTTCCTTAGATGTGTCCAGAACTCGCTGAATTATAAATAAATCCACTCAACCCATGTTTAGCAGGCACAGCACACGTGCCAGGCCCTGTGGTCGCCACCACGAGATGAGAACTGACAGCAGGGAGGGGGTGCAGACAGATACTCAGAATGTGATGGGCTGAGTGCCGTGGCAGGGGGTCGCTGTGTGTTCGTGGGGTATTTATTGAACGCTCACCGCCGGCGAGGCTCCGTGCCGGGCAAGGCTGATCGGGGCCAGGGCTTCCCCGGAGCTGTATGACATGAGGATGCCGGGCACTGGCCAAGGAGCTAGAGGAGAGACGGGGCCATGCGGAGCCGGGGGAGCCAGGGGGCAGGGTGGGCACAGTGGAGACGGCCCGCCTAAGGGGTCTGGGAGTCCTCTGGGCAGAAGGGGACCTTAATCAGACTCCCCAAGTCAGAGAGGGGCAGGGTCTCTACACAGCATAGAGCAGAGGGTCACAGAGGCAACGGGGACACTGCTCAGCGGGCAGGAACCTGTTGGGTGCCAGGGGAGCCCCGGAGCCCTGCCAGTCCCCCCAGGTGCACGGCTTCAGGCTCCTGCCTTGAAACCTCCCTGACGCGCAGATTGTCGGTCACCCTCCGGAGCAGCCTGGGCCTGCAGCTGGGGCGGCCGGGGGGCAGGCGGCCGAGGAAGCGAAACCGCCATGAAATGGGTTTGGGGACACGAGTCCCCTCATCCAGAACTCCAGGATGAGCTGATCATCTTTGGAACCGGTGCTCTGACGGCCACCAGGAGGCCATCAAATAAGAAGAAAAAAAAAATAGATACTGCACTTTAAATTGCTCTGAACCCTCTCAGAATGACAATGACAGTGCCCCGGGTCTGGTTGGCTGGAGGGACGTGGCTAATGGGCTTTGGGGGACTGTGGCCGACACAGCCCCTGCCCTGGGCTCCGGCTCACTCTTCTTTGCTTTGCTGTCCCCTAGAACACACCGGTGGGGACGCCCATCTTCATCGTGAACGCCACGGACCCCGACCTGGGCGCGGGCGGCAGCGTCCTCTACTCCTTCCAGCCTCCCTCCCAGTTCTTCGCCATCGACAGCGCCCGTGGCATCGTCACCGTGACCCGGGAGCTGGACTACGAGGTCACGCAGGCCTACCAGCTCACCGTCAACGCCACGGTGAGTCACCACAGCCGCCCAGCCCCCAGGGGTCCACCTGTCCTGCCCTTGAGGAGGGCGACAGGACCCGGCCCCAGTTCCACAGCAGCCGCAGCGTGGAACACCGATGTCGCTTGGATCGTGATGGCCAAGCGACAGCCAGCGTCACCGGGCGCTTGCACTGTGTCCCTGGTACTGTGCTGGGATTTTAGCGTTTTTAAGATGTGCAATTTATAGATAAGAAAACGGAGTCGTGGAGCAATTCAGTGATTGATCCAGAGTCACCCAGGAACCCCACTCCATAGCCAGCACCGGCGATGTCCCTGCGACATTCATAGTGCAGGGTGTCCTCTCACTCTCCGGGACACAGACAAGCCATGACATCACCAATGTGCAGGGGCCAGAGGGGCCCAGGTCCTTCCTGGCTGCTACCCCAGGGAGCAGGGCCTCTTGGAGACAGGGAACCAAGCAGCTCCTGGGAGCTCAGGACAAGGTAGTTGGGGACAGGAGAGGAGTCACTGTCCTGTGTTACGGAGGACATGGTTGCGGCTCATGCAGCTGATGAGTAACTCTGGAGAAAAACCCCTGACCCAGGTTGCAAGATTCTCAGTTCTGACCACCACGTCCCAGGGCCAGGAATCTCCAGCACACACAGCTGTTTGCAAGCTGTTTAGGGACAGCCACACCCTAACAGGGTGCTCCCCCTGCACTCCCCTCTCCCCTGCTCCTGTGCTGCCTCCAACCACAGCTGGTACCATCAGCTCAGGCCAAGAGCAAGGCAAACTCCGGGCATCCCTCTCGACCCGCTAGGACCCACCAGCCGGCACCCAGCACCGGACACCTGCCCACCTTGCTGCAAAAGGGCTGCCTGTGCCCAGGAGCTCTACCTAGCAGCTCCCGGAGCCCAAGTCCCCAGCTCTGCCTCTGGGCTGGGGGGGTCTACTTTTTTTCTCTTTTTGGGGGGTACCCAGGGATTAAACTCAGGGGCACTCCACCGCTGAGCCACATCCTCAGCCCTGTTTGTATTTTATTTAGAGACAGGGTCTTAGCACCCCGCTTTTGCTGAGGCTGGCTTTGAACTTGCCATCCTCCTGCCTCAGCCTCCTGAGGTGCTGGGATTAGAGGTGTGCACCACTGCCCTGGCGGAAGGGTCTGCTTTTGAAAGATGGGGTTCCCCAGGCGTGGCCAAGACCCGAGACGCCTCAAGAGCCAGGGACTGCCTCTTCCTGCCCAAGCGGGCCCCGTTGCCCTGCAGAGGATACTGGCATTCTTTCCGTCCCCCTGGTCTCCCGGGCGATGTGTGCTGCCGTTTGTAAAAGGGACTTGTGGGATGAAGGGGCTGGGAAGCCCAGAGGTTGCTTTTGTGCCTACCTACCGGCACCTACTGCCCGCCCGTCCCTGTGTACCGATGGCTCACGCTGCGCTCAGGCATGCAGGTGCTGGTCCTCTTTCTCTACAAACCTGCCCCTGTGGGATAATTTCCATCCTCCATAAAAATGGCTCTGGGATGTGGGAACAGATCAGCGCTGGGCACAGGTAAGAATGTGGGTGGTCAGGCCCATCACGAGCCCTGTGCTCAAGCTGGGCTGATGAATACAGAGAAATTGCTGCTAATCTCCCGGCAATCAGGCCTTGAAACTGCAGAGCAGGAGGGGCCTGTCACTCCCTGGTGGGTGGCTTCCTGCTAGCTCCTGGATCAGCTGATGCCGCAATCCCTCTGGGGCTGGCATCGTGCCCTTGGTGCTGGGCATTTCCCAGGTGATCCTCCTGCCTGTGACGAAGGCAGTAATGTGGTCCCTGGCTGTAGAGGAGACAGCCACGGGCCCTGGTCACATCTGAGAGCCTGGCATGACGCCGGCCCCACCAGAAGTGCCCACCGCCATCTCCCTTCCCCACCGGAGAGTTCAGGGTGGGCTGGATGGGGTCATCTGTCACAGGAGGAGGACTACAGCCCAGGGTACAATGGAGGTGGCAGGTGCCAGGCTGGACAAAAGCCAGCTGCCGACAAGAGCCTGGTAACGGCAAATCAGAATCATGGCGTCTGTTGCCCAGAAGGTCAGGGGACTCCTGCTGGGCCATGTGCCTGGCTGGGAGCGCTCCCTTGGGCAGTACCCCAGCCTGGGCTGTGGCGTCCATGGTTTTGGAGCCTGGGAGGCTGCCCCAACCCCACCCCAGGGCCCCTCTGCTCAGCTCCTCCTGCTCCCAGACTCCCTCCGCCCCTTGCTGCGTCCACTCCCGCCCCTGAGGCCCTCCCACCCACTCCTTGGCGACCCCCGAGGACTCACAGGGACAGTCGGGCCCCTTCGCCTCCTGGGCTCTGCAGCTCCATCTCTGGGGGTCAGGGGCAGGCACCAGGCTTTCTCATAACGTGGGGAATGCCTGGCCTTGCTCATGTCACTCCAGACAAACCACGGGCCATGGCACCTGGGGACAGCCACCCTCCAATCCCAGATCAGAGAATTTACAAATCCACGGGGCTGGGAGAAGTTGAATGGAGCTTTCACCTTACAGGAATGGACATCGAGAATCCGGGAGGGGAAATAGCTTACTGGAGGTTACCCGGCAAGTCCCAGATGTTTAGGCTCCAAATCAAGGCTGTGAAGGGCAGGGGTTTTTTGTTTTGTTTTGTTTTGTTCTTGGTACCAGGGATTGCACCCAACCCAGGGGCACTTGACCACTGAGCCACAGCCCCAGCCCTTTTTATATTTTGTTTTGAGATAGAGTCCCACTATGTGGCTTAGGGTCATGCTAAGCTGCTGAGGCTGGCTTTGAACTCGTGATCCTCCTGCCTCAGCTTCTCAAGCCACTGGGATCAGAGACATGCACCACTGCGCCCAGCAAGGCTGCCCTTGTCTGTGTAAAGTGCTCTGAGTTCGAGTTCTTGCTACCCCCGTACAGTTGGATGAGTCTAGGCTGTCACTTCCCTCTCTGGTGTCTGTGAGCTTACGGGACAGTGAACCCACGGGGACGGTGAGCCCACGACTTCTCATGCAGGACGCTGGCATGGGGCAGGCTCTGCGTTCGGCTGTGCCTCTGCCGCTGGTGCTGACTGGTGTTACTGGGTAGCAGCGGGCTGCTTCGGTTTTCATCACCAGCTGTGCCTTTCGGGTCCTGGGTGTCCTCTCTTGGTGAGCTTTTATAGGACTGAATTTGCAGTGCTGCCTGTAGGGCCACTGGGGAATGGCAGGCATGACCCCTCAGGATCCTGGAGGGCCCCAGATGTCACAGGCTCTGGAGCTCCCCCTGCTGGTTCGACTGGAAAAGTCCCTTGATCAGTAAATTGAGGACCCAGAGCAGGATTGCGGGTCCCAGAATGAGCCCCTGTGTGGCCAAAGGGCCCTTCTTCTGAGGAGTTGCTATCTAGTTGTCCTGGGCATGGAGAGGGGCAGGGACCCTGGGCTGAACACAGCAGAGGCACTGAGGACAGAGCCATCTCTTTACCTGAAGCCAGCCATTCAGTGCAACGGATATTCAGGGTAGCCGGGCCGGGGTTACCTCTACCCCCATGCTGTTCATGACACTGGAGAAGCCACTGTCCCATGGCCCTGCCTGGGGACCCTGTGTGTGTCCTCCTGCACGTGTGTGCCTGGACATGTGCATGTGTGTGACACATGCTCCAGGACCGTGTGTGCGTGTACATGCGTGTGTCCACGGAATCACTTAACTAAGGCTGTGTGCGCTCCTTGCCCTCTAAGGATCAAGACAAGACCAGGCCTCTGTCCACCCTGGCCAACCTGGCCATCATCATCACGGACGTCCAGGACATGGACCCCATCTTCATCAACCTGCCTTACAGCACCAACATCTATGAGCATTCTCCTCCGGTAAGTCCCCCCTGGCCCTGGGAGGGGCTCTAGGCTGGCGTGGGCTCCTCCTAGCTCTGCCTACCCTGGCACCTGGGACGGTAGTGACAGGCATCAGCAGTAAAACTCCACCTCCCCATCCTCCCGCTTTGTCCCCAGGGTGCTCGGAGTGGCAAAGAACAAAGTCTGGCTGGGCAGGAAGGGGGAGCGATCAGAAGGGGTCTTCTGGGGGTGCCCTTGGGAGCCCAGCCTGCGCTGGGGACTGGAGTGGGGTGCAGGCTCTGCAGAGCGTCCTGAGGCTTGGCCACGGCCTGCAGTCTGCCATCAGCATGGCCTAAGGGGGCAGCTGGCCTTCTGCCCCGAGGGCCTCTCAGCCCTGGCTCTTCCTTGAGAGCCGGCAGCAGCAGCTGGCCTCCCTAACTGCTCCGTCTTTGGGTTTCTCGGGTCCAGGTTTGCAACAGAGACTCCTGACTTTGTGCCATGTCACAAGTCACTGGGCACCAGCCAACCTGTGGATTGACTGCCCTGGGACCATGTGTCCACCTCTGGCCCAAACAGCCATAAGTGGGGGTCTCAGAGATTGAAACAGGCCACTGTCCACTCTGCAGGGGCCATGGCTGGGGCAGCTGTGGCCAGGCGACAATGACAGGCATCCCTAGAGTGGTCGCCTCCACGCCTCTGTGCTAGCTAGAGGGAAGCCCCCACCGTGGGCTGATAGAGGACAGCGAGGTGCCTCCTCGGGCAGGTGAGGCCTGGACACGCAGCTTGGGGAACAGCAAGTGCTCTGTCACGGAGCTGCAGCCCCAGCC